TTATATTTTATTATTATATATTACTAAATATAATTTAATAAACTTTATATTAACTTTTATAATAAACTTTACCCTTTATAGTTTTATAGGGCTATATAAATTTTTAACAAACCCTAGTATAGTTTATTAGCGTATTAGTATTAGCCAGACCACGCTTGATAAGGGTTACACCAGCAATAAAGAAGAAGGTAGCGAAATGCTTATAGAGTACAGTCCATCCGTTCAATCAGAAGAAGACGACAAAACCCTTTAGGCTAAATCAATCCATGGAACTCTGCAACAGTGCCTCAGTGTCTGAGATCCTGGTGCCCTCGGGCATGTGGTCCTGATGTGGCTTGCTTTCTACGGGTTGAACAACGATTGATCCGTTTTGAGGTTCCTGCAGATAAATATGAGTAGATATAATTAGCCAATTGGTGCGCCCGTGACTTGAATGTCCAGGATCAATAATACCCATGCTTAATGGAAATAGATAAGCTTCCGTGTCTCCCTCCGGCGGATGACATACCGCACTAATAGCAGCGCTGCACGTGGCTATACGAGGGAAATCAGGAGGGACATTTTGATACTTCCGGACGACCGAGTGGGCCAGAAGACTACAGAATAAGAGCAACACCGTTATGATGACGAGGACGATGCTGATAGCCGAAAATCCAATACGCGAGCCATTATTGTCTGGGACTAAGATATTGCCCCCCCCGGACTGGTACACAGTTGTTTGAACAATAAAGACGGCCTGCGAGACTAGCCAGTGCAGGGCGATGAAGAGAGTTATCGCAGGAAGGGAGTACTTGAACGGCATTGAAAGCATGTATGTAGATCTCTGCAAACCACGGGGCGAGGATACACGAAGCGGCTTTCTTTGGTCCGTCTTCAACAGCCGGACCCATTCATGCGCAACCAGTTGACGGCTAAGAATGCCATTGAAGATCATGTAGGCACAGCTTACAAGGAGCTGGATGCCGTTGGTTAACAGCACCTGCTTTGCAAAACCGCTGCGCGTAAGTCCACCATGCACGAAGCCTTGGATGAGAGCAAAGCCGTTGACTTTGCCAAGGCCTTGCTGCCACAGACTCGAGAGGTCTGTGGGAATTCCTTGGCCAGCTGCTTCGACGAGGGCAAAGGCAAGACAACCTATTACTGCACTAAGGCCCACGAGGAAACTTGGAGAGAATTGTCAGCTTTGACTTTCAACCAATCAAGTCTCATTGGAGTACGGTCCGACAAGAATAGAAGGACTTACAAAGTACACGATATAAACCACTCTCGTGGACACACTGCATGGTACCACGCCGTGGAGGGGGAAGGAGACCAAGGAGCAGACCTCAGAGATACCCTGCATTTTTTCGTGCCTGAAAAGACCCTCTTGAAGAACGAATCTTGGACCTGGTGAGAATTTTCTGTCGAGTCTTCATTTGGAATTGCAAAACTCTCGGGAGATTCCAAGAAGCTAGTAATCGCGTCCCCGATAGTTACTATAGACTTGACATTCTGCGTTCTCGCCACTAATAGAACGAAAAGACATCCGAGAAGAGTACAGACACATACAAAACACAAGGCAGGTGCGCTAAAGTGGAATCCGCATCTGTTGCTGTTGTCGGCTTGTTCGCTGACCAGACAGTAATCGACCACAGCCCGTTGATGATGCGGTGCTTCCCACGTTAAGATCTGCCAGTTGTCCGCGAGAGAGCGCGCCAAGTCGAGAGAGCAGTACCGAGATGAGGCGGCCGAGTCTGCACCGCACACCCAGTTGTTGGCATACTCCCACTGATCACTTGTGAGCCCGTTGATCCAGCCTTGAATCAGGGATGACCCGTTATTCTGGGACGAGGTCAGGTTCTTAGCTACAATTACAACATCGCCCGTACTCTTCAAAGAATCAGCGTACAGTTCCAGACAGCTGAGTTTGCCAAGCCGCGTGAAATTTGTTGCTCTATCTCGTATGCCAAAAACCCTTTCTCGGTCCGTCGAGTTTAGGTTGGGTCGTATTGCGCCCATGGTGGTCGAATTGTCCCAGACGTCATTCGCCCACTCGAAGTCGCTGGTGACCAAGGTTCCTACGAAAATAGCGAATGGCATGGACGCAAAAAGCGTCGAGTTCCAGCTGCTCCCAGTTAGACTTCATCTCTATCCCATCTGCGGAAGTAAGACCTACACCAAGTGTAACAAGATTGAAACAATCCCCAGTGCGAACCATAGAATGACTTTCTGGCGGTGTAACTTTCTGATATTCCTAAGACTTGGGACGCCGATTTCTAACCAGTCACCAACGGCGTGGGCCTTATTGAGGTCGCCGCGTGATGGCGCTGCAAGAATCTGCATGCAGTAGTTGCCAGCACCTAGGAACAGTGTCGAAAGACCGTTGAGGATCAGATGGGCGACTTTATTGAGGTTCGCCGCATCTCTACAACTCCCGGTGAATAATGTACCAACCCCTCGAGCATCCATGTCATGCGTTGCCGCAGCCCAGATCCAGGCCACCGTATTGATAACTGCCACCAAGGCCGTCAGGCCTGTCTGGATTCGCAGCATAGTCGACCTCTTTGATAACTTGGCCAGTAATGATTCAGCCCGGGGGCTATTGGGGTTGGCTTCGGGAATATAGCGCCCGAGCATGGCTGTTGTAGCGTAGGGAAGGTATTCAGGGTGATGAGACGGCGATCTCACACGAAAGTTACGTGTGGCGGAACCGTGGAGCCTAGTGAGCTCGTACTCCTGCGGTTGTGATCCTGATTCTGGCATCGTGTCGTTTAGAGGGGGCAGGTTACGAAAAGTACAGATGTCTACACATAACTCGAACGGAAGACTACCTTGTTATATCTCTGTCCATTGGCAAATTTATGCGGTGGCCATACTCCAGTGTTTGTCTACACCTTAGTAGCACAAGGTGGCTGCTTAGCCCCAACACCAGGTCTGTGAGACAAACTGGCTGGCCAGCGTTGCAAGCTGAGCATTCAGTTTTGGGCGCCAAAAGATTCAAGGCATTGTCAACCGTTGGTTTGCCGACTACCGCCTCCACTTGCTAACCAATATAACTCGGCTCATCATTGCGGCGTTGGGCGACGAGAAAAGGGGGTAAAGGTATAAGCAAGGCTGCGGCAGTGCCCGAGAATCGGCTACAGCCACCGAGGACCGTCGCCTTATACTCGGTTCAGGATAGTATAGGCAGTATGGTCTAGCAGAGGGTGTAGTAAACTGCAAATATGATGGGTTACGCATGTCAACAGCCCTATCCCGACATTGGCTAGGGTACGCGCACCAACCGGTGTCAAGGATATCGGTGATACGTAATGAAACTTGCTGCATGAGTTCCGACGCCACATCTGACGTATCGGGATCGGGCCGACCCATTATGAATTCCTACATATCAACTGCACGCCACATGTCGGCAGTTAGGAGGCGGTGACATGTTACGACCCAGTCACAGGCCGCAGTATAGGCTGCAAGTTAGGCCGGCTACATGAGCCACCCAGTTGCTTAGGCACGGCAGGTAACGGATTAATAGTCAGAACAGGCCGCTAATAAGAAAGAGTTTACTGGTTGTTCAGTAAACTCCAGATAAACCAGTAATACATATATAATAATAGTTTACCAGGACTTTAATAAACTAAGGGTAAATACCGTAATATATAAGGCCCTAAATTCGCTTTATAAATAGACTCTAGCTCCTTAGTCTTTAACACGATTATTATAATTAACCTAAGCTTTGCTTACAACTCTTTGACTCTAATTACTTGGTTCGCCCTGAGGGCGGTCGTGGTGCAGGAGTGCCAATCGCTCCTGCCGTATTACGACTGTCGCTGGTGGATACCTCGCTACTGTTCGCTGGCGCTGCTACTAGCAAGTCAAATGCCAAGTGAGCTGACGAGCGGGGAGCCTACCGTTGATTTGTCGCCGCGTCCGACGGGGGGGCCTGGGCCGCCATGTGTCTCGTCGACAATAGGTCTCGCGTATCCGACCTTGCGCATCCGACCCGCCCCAACCCAGCGCATCGCCCTGCCAGAGCCAATCGACCGACGAGCGCCTCAGCTAGGGCACAGGAGCATCCGCTTGTCGCTCTCAGAAGGGAGAGCCAGCAAATGAGATGGGCTTTCGTCGAGCTCAGAAGCTCTATGGTTCTCCTCTTCTTGCGATGTTTCTCTTTTTTCTCCAGCTTTTAAATACTCGTAGTAATCGCCTAGCCAGTTGTCAATTTACTTCCTTGACCCATCACATATGCAATCTCTGAAACAGGACGAATATTGTCTAGGATGCGCCGGCAATTGGCGAAAGATGAAGAAATACCCTTCTTCTCTGACTGCTGTTGCGTCTGACACCGTATTTCTGCTTCCGGTCACTTTTATCTCGATGTATGCTTATGTATGTTTGAGAAAAGTGGCTGAGGCTGTATATCACGTTGGCCAGGGGTTTACTGATAACTAACCGGTCCGATCAGACCACCAGCTCTCGCTGCAGCATCACTGGCCCTCCACAATCAGCTGGATCCCTTCCTTTGTCCGCATTGTACCGATGGTGCATCCGTGTATTATGCGTCCAATAGGGGGAACGGCATGGTAGGATGTTGTCTCGTCACAGGCCAAGAGAAATTTCCGTCGACGATTTGAGCAATCATTGCGAGTGCGACTAAGGTTTGTTTACCTATTGGAGATGTCATAGCTAGCCCTGGTCTGCTCCTTACTGCTCATATTTATGTACCTCGCAATCATATTTCTCGTGTTCTCATGTGCATAATGTTGGTTGGATTGGATCGAGGCTGGCGTTGAGTTTATTAGGGCACCTAAGTGTCTGGCTATCGTCATGCAGGATGACCTCCCTCGAACGTGTCATGGAAGCGCCGCTGGTGGAGCAGTTGACAGGCGCCACGAGACTGGGATTGATAAATGCCAGGCATCTCCGGCGAGTCGCACAGGGGAGCACCAGCGGGTGCGACAGCCTGTCCTGCTGCCAACCAACGGACGACCGCAATAGCCTACGTGGTCGCAGCCGTCAAATTGCTCGGCGCCGGGTGGATAAGTCGCGACGCACCCCCCGTTTCGCTTGCTGCCGTGTTAGAAGGTACTTGAGCTAACTGAAGTACATACGCACTGCGATATTTTTTGTTGCAATACGTGGCGCTCCCTGATTGTGGCCTCGGTGCCACCGTGGGGAGTAGCAGAGGACGAAAAAGTTGTGCCTACCAGTGAGCAGGAGGCGACGAGAGCACCTGGATCCAGAGGCACTAATAGTATTTTCGCGGAGCCAGAAAGAAAGGTGAAGTGAAAGCATGACTCAATGGACGAAACTGAGTAGAAACTTAGATTAGCCCGTTTGTCACGATTAGCTAACCAACATGATCCTGTGTTGTGAAGCAACACCGGGTTGATGCTCAGCTCTGTCTCAATCACAACCCAAACCGCTATCTTATAGGCGAACGCGGATTCGAGTACGAAGGAGGCAGTCAAACTTCAGCAACATGGCTAGCGTTACATTCGGCTCACAACTTCATCCCCGTCACGGAATTGTGTAATGCATACAGACAATATCTACTGTATGTATAACAAGGTCACCAAGAATTGGTAACATACGGACGTGGAAGAGGCTTCAATTACCTGACTTCTTGGTTAGAAAACTGTGTATTCGACCTTCTATTGCCAGTATTAATAAAATAGTAATCTTCGTATTTACTTCCCCTCAAGCTACTCCATCGGGCACCTAGTTAAGGCAGATCAAAGACCTCTACCGAATTAGATGACAGCTGTTGCGGCCCCCCAAGTCGCCTGCTTTGATATTTAAGGAGTCGATGTCTCACCCGTAAAATCGGGACGACGACGGGGGGGCAGATTTCAGGCCATGTCATTTTGGCCACAAAGATTGTGTGAGACATTTTGAAGAGATCTCCTTGGAGATGAGAAGGCTCTATCTACTACAAGATTCCCCACTGACCCTTGTAGCGGGTGAGGACCTGTAGTCACAGCGACCTGGGTGCGAACACAAAGGATTATCGGGTACTAATAGATAGTGGCTGATCTTTAGTACAGAGAAGACCATATAGTTAACTATTATAGGCGGTAAAATAAATACCCCTATATTGCCTTCTATCATGGGCGATTGACGCCTATCACTCCGTACCTGGAGCCTGGCTCGATGAGTCCAGTTTAAGGCTCCTGTTGCCGCATCCACGGAGCGCTGGAACCCAGACGGTTCATTAGATGTATACTGAACAGGACGGGTGTCTGGGACAGCCCACAGTGGCCGACCAGAACTTAAATAGACCATAATCTTACTGAGCTTCCTTTCACTTGACCCTACCAGTTTGTCAACAGAAAGAACACGCTCTCTTGCTCAGCAATTATTCCCACTTATATCGTGTGACACACTTGAACTGCAAACCACGGCAACTCTCCAGTCCCTGTTTCGTTCTAGTTTGGCCGACTAGTGTATCCATGGCCACATTGCATGCCGCTGAACGTAGTAGTATGACAACTCAGCAGGCCTTATCGTGTTGTGGGATGTCGACAGCTAGATTGTGTACGCCTTATTGCACGAAGGAACCCATGTATTTTAATTTCCCCTCTGCTGCCTCGATAACCCGTCTTGCCAGTTTGACCTCGTTTTTGTTGCATCATTCTCTAGCGTCATCTACGGAAAGCACTCTACGACTGCTATACGATCTTTGGACTTGCTAGGAAGGATGACGGATATCGCATGGCCCACCCACCTCGCGTTAGACAACATGGGGCAGGCGCTAAGGAGGTCGAGTTCTGGCTTGACAGTGCTGCCAGCTCCTCTAGTGCATCCAAGTTGGAAGCCAAGGGAGGTACAAATGGGAAGGGCAAGGGTAAGGGAAAGGAAAAGGCTCAAGCAGAGCGTTCAGCAGCTTTTAGCTCTGGAAGGTACATTAGTGTGTTTGAATTTTTCAGAACAAGTACGCTATTGTCTCCAGCCATCCCTCGATGCAGCTGACTATGAAGCAGCATATAACCGAGTCCTGCAATATCCCCAGCTTCCGCTGATCAACTACGGCAACCGGGAGAATCCGATGTATCTCCCAGCAGAAGTCTGCGTTGTCTTCGCGGGTCAGCCCTCCAAGTCGAAGCTTGACGGCGCGGATATCGTTGAAGATCTCACGCATAATATGTGCTATTTTTCCAGTCACGCGACCAAGGCTGTTAGTTTATGCCCCTCGGCGTACTACGCTGATCTCGCGAGCGCGCGAGATGCTACTTGGCCCGCTTGTTCAATTCGCCGTCACCATCACGGTTTCATACTCGCTGAGTTTCATTGATGAGTATTGAACAAAAATACCCATTTTTACGATAATAATGGCTGAAGTTGGGTGAAACGGCATTCAGCCTCGTTCCCAGTAAATGAGCAGATGCGAATGTAGGGCTGGGTTGTCTTCAGAGACAGCCCAATAGTGGGCAACTTATTTACAACGCCAGCAGATCGGTTCGGAAGTCTCTCGCTTTTTGTTTTCTAGTGGAATTTTAGATTTCGATTGCGAAACATTGCTGCCACCATATTTCAGACTAGATCTCATGTCTAGATGCGGTGCTTCTGAACGCTGGTATTCTACGGATACAAGCTCAATCCTCCATGTTTTCCGCACATGTGACCCCAGCGACGCTGCGATGATTCGATCCTCCGATAGGCGCTCCGCATTCAGGACAGCGCGCCTCTTCCATCGGCATTCCACATTCGCCAATCGCAAACTACGCCAATGTTAGAACTCAGGGCCCATGTAGGTTCAGCACCAAATACAATTGTTATAAGATAGCGTACCGGATGTCCGTTAACACAATTATACCAATGGCCGGAATGAGTAGCCAAGCCAGTCGGTCCAGTGACCATAGCTCTTTTGATGGCGGCAACTTCTTCAGGGCTGACTGTTTCATACCGTTCTCGTTCTAGTAACTGAATAATTTCTTAGACCGCCTCCTTCAGTTTTTCGGCATACTGGAAGGGTTGCTCACACAGGAGAGAAGCTCTCTCTAGATTCTTCTTCGCGTCTGTTACAAAATCGATCGCTCTGGCCATGTCTGCCTCATCCAATGAATGACATGATTGATACAGTTGAGCCATCCTGCCTTGGTAAAGGGTTGCCTCGACGGCAAGTTTAGGCAGGGCTTCGGTACCGCAGCTTAAAATAAAGGATGCGCAAGTTTTCAGAAACGGCTTGACAAGAAGGTGCGGAGAACCGCCCGCATTGGAAGTCCTGTGTCGACGTTGCAGATTTGAGCGCCAGTAAAACCCCCAGCTTATCTTCCAGAGTAATAAAGTCGAGTTTCAACAACGCCATCTCGCCTGCCAGTGTCACACGGCGATCCCTTTCAACGGGCTTCTGTGTATTCTCCAGAGACAGGTTAGCAAGCTTTTCACTCAGGCCATCTGATTTCTTTTTCCGCAGGGCATAAATCGTCGCCTCGTAGAGCTTATGAGATGGCTGGTAGCGTTCAGAAGTCCTCCTGCGAAGGTCTTTAATTTTACGGCGCAGTTTATCGCAATCTGTATACCGCGCCAGAACTCGGTTCTCGAAAATCGCTTTCAGGCGGCGTTCATGCAACATATTGATGGATCGCGAAAAATCTGAGTGTGATGCAGCAAGTTCTTCCTGTAGCTTCTCGAGTTCAATGTCAACCTTTTTCAGCTTGTTCTTCCCTGTGACCAGAAACCTCTTGGATGACTCGTCTGCAACGGCTCTGTTGATGATTCGATTATATCGTCGCGTTACGTATTGCCTTACTGGGCGCTTGCAGTCAGGACATAGGGGTATCTTCTCCGCGAAGGTAGCAGATATGTCAGCCAGTGCAGTAAAGCGACCTTCGGGGTTAGAAATATAGGCTGTGTACATGCCCACAAGGCCGTCTAGAGTTTCTGCTGTGAAGAAGTGTCCGCATCCAAGAACGACTATAGGAGCCAGATCGACGTCGATTTCGGCATACGTTTTCATTTCGAGTAGATCAACTTGAGCGTCCTGTCTTCTCCCGCAATCTTTACACAAATCTTCTGGGCAGGTTTCACCGCAAATACCTGGACAACGATGGCCGCAAGAGAGCAATTTCGCGCATCGCTCATCACAGGGCAACCGGTCGCATGCAGCCGAGCACGGCATTGTGCAAGATCCCTGATGCTCGCAGGACCATTGGCAGTTTTCAACGCATGGAGTGCAAGCCTCGCTGCATCTTGAGGCACACTTTGAATGTTGACATCTCACCTCGCAAGGCGCAACACACAGACCGCAGTCTGTGCCTCCATGGCAGAGTTTGCGACAGTGGTGATTGCACGTACCAAACGGTCTCCCGCAGATCTTGCGACATCCCTGGTGAGAAACTTCTGATACCTCGTCGTTATTCTTTCCGCTGCATTTGCCACAGGTCCCTGGGCAAATATGGCCGCATGGAAGCGGCGTGGCACAAGGCACTGGACACATATAACCTCCTGCAGTCACTGACGTTGAGCATGCTACCTCCACGTTGTGGTTGCATCCTGGAACTACCTTTTCGACCATAGTTTGGCAACGGATCGCTTCGGGCCTTTGGGCCAAGTGACAGGCTACCGAGTCCTTGAAATGGCCACAAGGAAGTTCAACATCCTTTAGTAACACGAGACATTTCCCGCAGTCCTCTCCACAAGTTGGCTTCTGACATCCATGTCCGCACGGCTCGTGTAGCCGCTGGCAAGGCTGCGGACACGAAAAGATATTGTGCATGCTTTCCGAGTGGCATCTCGCCAGGCACATGTGGCCGCAGTTCGGGAGGCGCCAAAGGCAAGCCTGCGAGCATCCTCCCTCGGGGCTGTATCGAGGGAAGTCATCGGGCTCAGATACCTCTATTAGAGTTTCTCTATGTCGCGGGCAGCACAGCCCAAGGGTTCTGCTCACGGAATCCGACGCTCGCATGAGTTCAATGACCATTTGCCACATCTTGACATGTGTGTAGGTTTCTGTGTTCCCGATGAGGTACATGCCATGCTGGGCACGACTTAAAAGAACATTGATCCGGTTCGTAGTTCTTAAGAAGCCAACCTTCCGGGCCTCGTTGCTTCTGTTGAGAGACACGATCACGACTTTTGCTTCTTCTCCTTGAAAATTGTCAACAGTGGCCACTCGTAGTAGTTCACTCAACTTTTTCTTTGCCAAAGAACCGCCTTTCTTCTGAGTCGATGGGCTTTCAGATGAAGCCTCTTGTGAGCTAAGTGTTGTGCCGTCAAAACCGTCCTTGTCCAGTGCATCTTGGTCTCTGTCACTGAGAACAATTTCAAAATCGTTGCGCATCGCCGTACGAAGCTTCTGAAGCTGTCCGGTGTATGGAGTCAACACCGCGATGTCACTGCTCCTGTACGCTCCTTGGCGGACGATGTGGCGGACGAGCGCGTGAACCAGCTCTGCCTCCCAAGCATTAGAATGCGACTTGTGGTGCATTTCGAAGTAGTCGCCGTCCTCTAAGTGATCATGATCAAGCCAAAATAGATTCTTTCGCATTCCAACGACGTCTGGAAGGTCCCGGGTAGTCCGGTGGTCTTGAATATTGGGATAAATTGTCTCTCGGATTAGCATCGAAACGGCAGGGCGCATGCGCCGCTGGACTTCCAATTGGGCGACGGGGATTTTGGGTCGTCCGGGAACGCCGACCAAAAGTCGTTCAAACTGGCTGCGGTCAAGCTGGTATAATACACCTTGTTTGCTCTCCAATGACAAGCCAAAGTTGTTGATTTGGGGTCGCAACTGTTCATGATCCCCAATCTGGATGAAATGCTCTACTGGCGGAAGTAGTGCTGAAAGCATGTGCGGTTCCATCACTTCCCCTGCTTCCTCGCAAATGACGACTTTACATCTAAGCCTCTGCAGAGTTGATATTCGCTTGGCTAGACCGGTAGTCGTGATGCCAATGACATCGGCTTCTTGCAACACCCTCCGATCGACTTTATCATGGATTTTTGACACCTCTCGCTGTGTTGAAGAAGTATGCTTGATATCCTCAAACAAGTCATCCACAGCCTGCTTGTGGTTCTCTGTGCTCCAAAAGTTTTTAAGATATTTCCGCTCCCGTGGAGACAGAGAATGGATGTCCAGGTCTGCTTTGCGAAGAATGGTGTCGTGATTAATTTCCGTCTCGGTGCCATAGTTCTCGCGCGCGTCGGCAGCCGTCGTCTCGTATGATGCCCAAATGTCAAAAGGATGTCAACCAACGGTCTAGAATCCGTCCTTATCTATCGGCCTGAATTGCTTACATATGCGTGGATAGTATCGGGAAAGGTACCTCTGTATGTTGTCCCACTTCATTTGCCGTAATGTTCCATGCGCCCTTCCGAGTACCCTCTTGATATCCTCCGTTTTATCATCCAGATCTTCATAGGACTTCGCAAGAAGATACCTCTCTGACCTACTCTTTGATTCCATTTGTGACACTGTCCGAAGATTGTGTCCCTCCAATAGATTTGAATGGCTCTGACCTCCAATACGAATGATTTTCTTAGTGCCATCGTGCAGCATATGCTCGAGGAACTGACCCAGTTCATGGTTTGTATAGCATCTGGCGTTGTTACTGTCAGCGGTCATTCTACCTTCCAGATTATAACGTTCACTTACACAACAACTATACTATAACTCGCTTAATATATAAGCTATTTACATAAAAATTAGTGTATTTTAAAGGCTTAAATTAGCTTTTTTTATGCATATAAAGTAGGTTCTTATAAGCCTTATAATTAGCGTAATAATTATAACTAAAAAATCTTCCTATAATTAAATTTTTACTAAAAAATTACATGTAGTGTAATAAATTACACTACAAACTACACTACATTATATTATACTACAAATTACACCAAAAATTACATGTAGTGTAGTTTTTTCGTTACAGGTCTGTTAATCAGCCCAGCTTAATTAGCCCAGCTAATTAAGCTAACTAATTAAGCTAAAAAATCGTGCTATTTAAAGTAAAACCCTAAAAAGTCTAATAATAATAAAACCTTTACTTATATTTATTTATATAGCTAGGTAAGTATTACTTTTAAAGACTCGCCTGAAATTTTATCTTATTTTAGCTCTCTTTTTTTGGAAGGTAACAAAGCCAGATAAAAAACGTATTAAATATAATTATAGGTTTTCTTGTTTTTCTCATAATAATAAAATATAAAGGTACTAGAGCTAAATAAGCTAGCTAGAGTATATAAATAAATATATATATAATAATATTTGGTTGATTCGCTCTGTAGTTAAATAAAATTACATATATAATACTAGTATTATACAAGCGTAAAATCTAAAATAGTATTAGGCTGTACTAAGCGTAAAATCTAAAACAGTATTAGGCTGTACCAGGCCAAGGATAGTAAGAGACTAGAAAAGTAGACTATCTACGCATTGTGACGCGTTAGATATACTAGCGTAATTAGTGCCGCGCCGTGGCCCGCTAGTCGCGGCCACCTCGCGATAGCTTCAGCTACTGTCATGTAGTCAAACCTTGTATGTTGTCGTGACACAAAGTACAGACAACAACAAGATGACCAAGCATGACAAGAAGCCCAACACAAGTAGGTTGCCTATTGCAACCTTCAAGGGTCAAAGCTAAAGAGGTTACGAAGATGATCAGGAATTTGGAAAAGATTCTAAAAACGCTGAACCAAAGCGTAGCACCAAGGAAGCTGTGAGACTGGCCACAAAAGGGGCCGACAAGGCTAGCAAAGCCGAGGCCAAAGAGGCCAAAAAGGCCAAAAAGGCCTACAAGGCCAAAGCTGCCAAATAAATCTGTATTGGCGGTTTTACCTCTTCCGGAGGGAAATATATATATATATATATATTATAATAAAATTTTATATTTTACTACTTTATTACTTAAAAACTAGTACTAATTACTAATACCCTTTTAATTAAAAGTATTATATTAAAAAAATTATTATTATCTGGATTATATTAAAAATACTTAGGCGAGAATTACCCTTAATAAGCCTGAAGTTTAACAAGCTACAAATCTCAAGACGGTAGAGGCGGGTTATCAGTTCCGCTTGTTTTACAGAGTAGTTCAGGTTCGCGTCCGCTCAGACCTTGCCATTTTGTTAGGGCCCCACAGCTTCGTAGCGCGACAAGGAAAAACAGTGTACGCTGAACCTGGACGGCCTGCACTTGAGACAAGACATAAAAGGCTTCACACGGCCGCAAGACGTAGGGTAAATAGCATCGAATAAATACATGTATTTACCGATTGGTTTTGCTCACGGATCCAACGAGACGGGTTGTATCCCACTGCGGACAAGATTGGACAAGCCGCCCACGGAAATGCCGCGAAAGACGGTGTGGATAAATGGGCCCATGTGGCCAATATTTGCTACTATTCCCAATATTCCCACACATCACACCGTCCCATCCGCCTTGGCCCGCCTCATTCTGGCATGTGCCGGGCCACCGTTCTTCGGATGGGCCGTGGCTTTGCCTGTCGTGTACATTCGGTCCCCTTCCACCGTGGATTTCGAGACCTTGACACCTATTCGCTGCTGTGCCTTGTCCCAATCGTCCCAAGCCATCTCGATATCAAAGTCCCGAACGACAGCCACCAAGGCCAACTTGAGTACCACAATTGCCATCTCTTGACCTATGCATTGGCGGGGCCCTAGTTGAAAGCCCCGCCATACGTTCTTTGGCGGGTGAAGCGGGTGCCCTTCAGCCACGACGAACCGGTCGGGAATAAATTCAAGGGGCCTGGGGAAATTCTCCGGGTCCCGATGGATAGTGATGGAGCTGTCAAACAAGTCAAAACCGTCTGTTGGCCACGGCACTTCTGAACCCTTGATGTTGAAATCAAAGCCACGTCGCCCCTGCCTGATGGTAATAGTTGCCGGGTTCATCCGCAAAGTCTCCTTGATAACGCCCATGGTATACTGTAGCGAGTCTAATATATGCGGCGAGAGACGGATTTTGTCCGCCGCTGCTCTCGGGTCGGGCCCGAGCACCTTGTCATGTTCAGCGCGAAGCTTGGCAACGCAGTCGGGGTTTGATTCAAGATGCTTGAACATCCACGGAATAACTGTCGATATAGCGTCGTCGCCGCCAAAAAAGAAAATCATGAGCTGACAGAATATTTGCTCAACAAAGTCTTCATCCCTGCGCATTTGGGGTTTGCCGCTGCCTTGTGACTCTTGTTTGCAGGCATCCACGGCTGCCTGCACGATCGTCTGTGGACTGCCATGGCTGTTGCCAGAAATTGCTTCACAGATGAATGGCCGAAGATGGTTAAACAACTCGCGTCGTCTTCGAGCTATCTGCATCTTAAACATCGGTGTAGCTCTCCATAGTAATTTTAGGGGACTCAGGGTAATTTCCATGCGCTGTAGCTGCTCTCGATATGCTAATGTAAACAGAGACGGGCATGACGTCTGAGATTTCAGAGAAGAATTACTGTCGCCATGTCAACTTGGTGGACACCTTCAAGGTCAGAGTGGGAAAGTAATTGAACCCTCACATGATGACTCGCCCGGCGCTATCAAACGCCAGGTCGGCCGATATCTTCTCAAGCTGGAACACGGGGCCCCAACTCCCCCCTTCACCGCATAGTTTGGAAATGACCGTGGCAAATGACTGCGCATCTTGGAGCAACGCGGGTATCCAGCTCCTGATGTTGGATTTACTGAAGCCAGGATTGAACGTCGAGCGCCAGGCACGCCACTCGTCCCCGTGCATGCAATTCAAATCTCTTCCCTTGGAAATCGGTTCCAGAAACTTTCCTTGCATCGGGGACTTTGCCAACAGTTGGCCCATCTCCATCTGATTGGAGACATATGCTTTCAGGGAATACGCCATGGGGCGCGAGAGAGGCCATACGTCAACGTACACCACGGGCGGACAACTGTCCTCGGCGGGGAAGAAATCCTTCCAGTGCGCGGCCATGTAGGAGCCAAATGATTGAATGAAATTTGCATCTGTAGCCCAGTCCAGGTGAAATTTTCTAACCACCAGGAGGTGGCCAAGGAGAAACGAATGCTCCATAATTGGCTTACCATGATTAGCAACAAGTTGCTAGATTGGGGCCATGTCGAACATACAATGCCACGAGCTTTCATTTGCCTGAATTTCATTCTGTGCTGACACAAAGTAATAAAAAACTTTAATAGCAACACACTTGCTGCCATCATCAAGAGCCTAGGCATTGACGGCGGAAGGCTGATAGCCATGGTTCTAGGACACACCTGGTGTTTCATAAAGCAATTCTTGCAAGTTTACTAGTATCTTGACATGAATGTTTAAAGCTTCTCATATTTATAGGTGTACTGCGAGGTAACGGGCCCAGCCCGAGCGGGGGCTTCGGATTCAGCTCGCATGGGACAGTTTGTCTCCCGCTCCTACATATGTATCCTCTGTTGACGTTCCAGTCGTGAAGGCGTACCCACTGGTCACAGCCCATGCATTTACACTTGACAGCTGAAAAGTGCATCACGGTCTGGGAAATTATGCAGCAAATGCCCAACTAGGAAACAGATTATTGGAATAGAAGATATGTTTGGTGGCAGCTAGTAAGCATCAAGCCCACCGGCAGCGGACTTGCCCGTGCCGTTTTAAACGCGGCACGGGTTATCATCCATATGAGATGTTGCCACCATCTCGTTTATCCACGTAGGATGCTGCTTACATCATTATCATTCAATACAATTGGTGCTTTTGGCGCCATTACGCTCCATCTTTTGTGGCCCTCAATTGTCTGACATCGTGTCTACTCGGACCTTTTTTATTTAATAGACATTGACCCTGTGCTGCTGCCGCGCCTTGATGCCCTTGCCGACCACATCAACGGCCTCCATCATTCATACCCCGATCCGTTATTAATAAAATCTCTGGCTTCTCAACATGCAGGGTTCAAAAATTCTTTCTGTGATTAATCCTATTCTGGCCAGAAGAGTGCCTAGCTTTTTCTCGCGCTATCCTGCTGCTATTAGCGTCGCAGCAATTTCGGTTGAGAATGCGGTTCGACGAGTCGGCAGCCAGGCCTGTGAGCCAAACTCGAGGGAGCAACGTCGTGCTCTAATCCGGCACTCGAACCCTCATGGCGATCCATTTGCCATTTGCCATTGCTCTGCAGACCCCGAGAGGCTAGTTTTGCTTGCTAGTATCATTGAAGTGATGTGGATTCATGATGGTATGCAATGTCTAATCCCGCTAAAAGTTGAGACGAATTAACAATCGTCTGACCGAGAAAAGATGTGACAGAGGAACTTGATCACATAACAGTGAGTGCACTTTCCCTTCCGGCAGCAAGGAAATATTTCCGCTAAGTGAGTTCGAGGCATGTCATGAGCATGGCAAGCTTTCTGAGGTGCTACATGTCCAGATTGACCCTGAAGCATATCAACCAGAGAACGCCAGACAGGGGGCTTTGGCACGTCTACTGAGAAAAGCGGTCGATTTGGATCCCGGACAGGCGCCGAAAATGGTTGAAACGCTTCAAAGTTATCTTGCAACGTTTGACAGCCGGGACGACGACTTTGATCATATGGATGAATACATGCCTTACAGAATTGGTAATTGTGGCTACTGGTGAGCGCTTTCTCTATCAACATCATACGACGTGAGGCCAGGGGGTGGCATTTAGGCACTAACGCCATCGCAGGATCTCGTCGTATTTCATTCGATGGGGTATGGGAATGACTCTTAGTGCTGCCGATTATGAGTCAATCCGCCAGTATGACACTGCCATGGGAAACGTTCTTGGCTTAACAAACGACTATTTCAGCTGGAACGTGGAAAAGGACCAGCCTACTGACCGCATTAGGAACGCCGTGAGAGTATTGATGAAGCAATACAAGGTGACATGGAAGGCTGCTAAGGATATGCTACTTGGCATGATTATTGAGGAAGAAGCGAGAGCGGCTAGGCTAAAAGAACGTCGTCTCATGCAGCCTGTATCAGAGGAAATCGCAACGTACTTCGAGGCCATTGAGCTATATGTTGGTGGAAGCTGCTACTGGCATGCTACCGCACCTCGTTACCAGGTAATTGAGTAAGGCAATTGCTATGCGGGCCGAACCACTTTGCTACAAGGGCCGTCTTGGAGGACTTGTGTGGCTGATTTTTTTTGTCATGTGCCTTTTTGATTTCAACATGGCCGTAATAGATGCATGGCGCTAGCACTGGCCTTGGACATGGAAAACTGCATGTGCTCTGCTAGTATAATCAATATTATTTGCAGAGGACATGACAAATCGTCCTGTTGCGCACGGCAAACCTGCCGAGAATAGAGCGGCGGGGCCAATCACGGAGACTTGACGGCCCGCTTGATTCCAGGATTGTAAGTACATACAGGTTTGAGGGTCAAAATTGTCGCAAACGAACCGACCGACATGATTCAATGTTAGCCCTTTGCCCCGGAACCAACACATGCAGAGCCCCCCTCCTTGGTGTTGAGCGACCATGGCCTCATCACGGAATAAGGGGCCGCTAATCCGCTTCAAGTAGATGCTGCGGCGACCAGTAAGCAGGTAATGAGGTCAAGTGATTACGGTGTCTGGTCTGGTGGAGCTGCAGGCATGACTGGGTTCACGAGCAACACACAGTTCTAGGACGTGAAGAGTGTTGTCTTCATCCTGCTTCATCTCGCGTCGCGGTGTGCGCTCGTCAGTCAGTTCCCCTGGTCGCAAGATTGCCACCAACGTACGCGGTGTGGCAGCAAATACGGCTCAACATCCATCTTTTAGAGTCGGCAGACCGATGACTCAAGCTCGTCATCTATGCAAGCGACTACTGCAACGTCGATTCCGACACCTACGGTCAATGTTGGCCCGCTCACGTCGATTTCACAGGCGACCGAGTGTCTCGATGCCGAGATTGTTGCTATATCAGTAGATCCTTCTTCCACCACCTCTGTGGAGATGCAGCTTGGCTTTAATGCGAGGGACAACTCTGGGAATTATTGCTTCCCGAGCGCTTATATGGATGCCGTGGTGAAGAATGAAAGCCCTATTTTTTCTCCCGGCAGCGCATGTCCGTCTGGCTACAAACCAAGATGCACTCTGGTCGCCCCCGGTGTCACGCTTGCCGCGGCAACCAGCGTGCAAGTTTGGGAGTCCTTGGCCAACGGTGATGTGGTAGTTGGGTGCTGTCCTAGGTAGCCTCTCTCATGTCTGCCTTCAATGTTGACTGGCGTTCCAAGGTCTAACCATGCTGCAGGGACTATGATTGCGCATACGGCCCCAACAGATATGCCTGCCTGTCGACTCTGGGGGAAAGCGAGACCATCACTGCCGTCTACGCGAGAAATGTATCACGAACTGCACAAGTTACTGCTGGTTCGTACACAAAGGCCACCCTGCTTGCGCTTCAGTTGCTTTACGCTTCTGCAAATACGGCCCGCTCGGACACCAACACGACATCCGCTTTTGCACAAAGCAATACACCCTCTGGCGACAAGCCATCTTCTTCTTCTGCCGACGAGGGTACTACACTGAACCGGGGGCAAATCGCAGCCATCATAGTGTCTACCCTTCTGGGCGTAGTCGCATTGCTACTTTGCGGCATCTTACTCTACAGGCGTCGCATACGAAAGGTTGAGCAAGCACCTGAGAGAGGCGGAGACGCTTCTCAGACGGAACCCTGTGGCAAACCAGAGCTTGACGCATCTACGAATATAGCCTGCGTCAACGAGATGGACCCTACTCCGCGCTCTGAGCTTCCAGAAAGCGAAAGGGCCTTTGAGGCACGCACGCAGCAAATCGCCGAGCTGGAAGGAGACTCTGGGGTTCGCCATGAATATATCACTGGAAAACCACCGGCCATCAATAGAAAACCAGTCGCGAGCAGTCCGCAGGCTAGCACATCAGATGCAACAACAAGCTGAGGAGGACCGGCTGGGTATTCCACACGGAGCAAAGGCGGAAAGAGGTCTTGTCGTCGCAAGCGCCCAACATTGGCATCATATTTTGAACTGGCTAAAAGAAGTTGACTCCTTTGTAAAGGTCGGGATTAAATGACGTCGTCAAGACTATTGAACTCTCCACATCCGTCCCATTTTCCTCCTCATTCTCATCAGCCGTCGTTTCTCTCGTCATGTCCTCTGTGTCACAAGCCTTGAGCCACTCCCGCCCATCAGTCGTGCATTCCTCCATGGCATCCGTGAACCACGGCTGTCCGACGCGGCGAGATAACGGCCGATGCCCTTTCCTCAGCCACGTCCAGATCAACCTGTGTAGACGAAGACGTGTAGTTGGGGGTCTGCCTTGCCGCATCTACGAGTCGTGGCCTGCCAACAGGCGTGGCTGGCTTTTCAGCCACCTCAGTCTGTGTCGAGGCAGACAGGCAGACAGGCAGGCGACAGCCACGTGCAACTCACCGGGCGAGGTGAGACTGTCCAGGACTCTTTGGTTCTCCAGAATTCTCTCCAACTCCTTTACAACATCGCCACCATCTTCCCTCGGAATCTCCCGTGTGTCGGGCGGATGCCTGTCTACGCCTCGCTTTCCGCGGATGCTTGCGAGCTCTATCACTGGGATGGCTAGGTGTGCCCATCACTGCATGCATCAGATCATGCAGCCGATACCTGGGTAAGATGAGACTTGCCATCACATTCCCAACCTCATCTCCCACCCAAGCCATGGCATCCCTTGGCATTGCTGCCGTGGCCCAAGGCCGCTCACTGTTTTCAAGCCGCCGAGTGGCAGTTGGCCGAGAACGACACGATTTCATGAATTACCGCGTCGGCCGGATTGTCAGCTCTTATGTACGCAGCGGAAGAGGTAAATGAATGACATGCAGGGACCTGGCTTGGGAATACTCGCGGTGTGGACAGTACGCATCACATAATGCTGACAGGGAGTGCGCGTCCTTCCGGCCGGTCCAGTGAGCACTATCAATGCAGCTGCCTCCTTTCGTCTTCTTTCGCATGATGTCTGGTGATTGCCCGCAAAATCATCACCTACAAGGTGCCACTTCGCGCCGACACAACCAACTGGAGTGCTTCAAAAGCCGCCCAAAATTCACTTGCAATGCAAGCATCAACAGGGGTGTCGCTCCATGCAACATGTTGGTCGGAAAGATGGCGATACCCAAAGTTTCAAGCCTTCTTAAAGCAGCCGTTTAATGTTGTGACAAGGGTTCGATATGAAGGCTTGGAGCGATAAAGGGCTCAATTCAATAATAATCTCGTAGGATGTCAAAGGTCCTGAATTGCGACAGGAAAGGAAGAGAAGGGTGACCGCCTTATATACATGAAAGGAACGCCTAGGCCTATAGTCCTTGCCCGGGCACGTGTTCTAGCTGTGTAACTAACAAGTCCTGTATCGGCGAAGCCCCTTTGTTGGGCCTCACGACCTGTTAGGCCTTTTCCGTGTAACATATTCCCAATTGGCTACAGGATGATTGAAACTCGTCTCACTTGGCGCTTAAAAAGGGAAGCCGGGATGAGTCTGTTACCCGAAACGAACCAACATGCATTGAACATGCATCGGCATCGACGGGCTCTAGTAAATACTCAGCCGTCCCCCTCATCTCCCTCCCTTTAGCGTTATTGTTCTCACTCCGCGTAACATGACAGACGAGCCGTTTTGTCGATTGACCATGGCACCAGATGTCGTAAAAGAAGAGGTGGCAGAGAATGCAGCTACGGCAGTTGCGGCACGCAGCCCTGGTAAACCTCGAAATGAAACTCTTTCAGTCAGCACTCGGTCTCAGCCGCTTATATTTGGAGAGGAATGGAAACTGGCTCTTGACGAAGCTGGAACACGCCAGAGACCTCAGCCGGCCGCCGTTATCCCCAAGTTTGTGTTTGGGGAATCTTCCAAAGCTGCGACAGCATCTTCACCATACCTTGCTGGTGCTATTTATGCAAAGACTGCGGCAAAGACTGCTGGCGACAACTCGTCAATTGAGACATCCACGTCTCGGCGAGACACTACATCCTCCGTCACAACACCTTCCTTCACGTTCGACATTGACCCTTCAGCACTTGGGGAAGGTGCTCGTGAGGCAAATCCTCCTACTTCAGCGGAGACTGCTTCTTCATCTCCACCAATAGTTTATCAATTTGGAAGCTTTCGTGGATTGCACAATGTGACGCCCGTGCCATCTCCCAAAGCTGAACCGTTCAAACTATCAGACGACTACGTCTTTGATTTCTCATTACCCTCACCAAAATGCCCAAGTCCGAAGGCGGCGTTCAAGATCAGATCGCCAAGAAACTCACGGCCCAGCTCACTGTCAGATTTACTGGGTTATTCACCCAGCACTCAGTCGGGAAGACCACCCGCGGAAACAGGGCAATCGAGTACGAGCGAGCCAATTCTGCTTTTGGGTAACCAGAGTCACTCAGACCTCAGCAGGGCTGTGGCTGGCAGTCAACAGCCAGTGGTTGCTTATGATGTGCTTAACGAAGAAACACCCCGTCATCCCTTCTTCAGCAACACATTCCAAGCCACGCTGCAGAAAGGCCTAAGAATCGCAAAGGCGGCGACAGATGTACTAAAGTCCGTCCGCTCCGTTCAAGGATCCGGTTTGGATAGTTTGTTAAAGGAAGGGGAGGACTTGTGTGCATTTCACGGCACCAGTACCAGAACAATTGCTATTCTGGGAGACTCTGGGCAAGGTGTGCACACCTTCAAATGAACCATTAAATATTCGCACTGCTTACACCTCTTAGGAAAAAGCAGTCTTATAAACTCACTGTTGCATTTCCCCAGGCTTGCAAAAACTGTCAGTAACGTTCAACATCCACTAACCGTCGTCGGTTGTTCTGTCAACTGACTTTGAATTATATGTAAGGGAGACTCCGGCTCCGCCTGCACGTCAGTAGTGACTGAGTACCGGCAAAAGAGGCCGAACCAGAAAGATAATATTTTGATCGAAGTAGAGATCTTATCACGGTCCGAAATAGAGGAGGTGCTAACAGATTACTTGTGGAAGTATCGCCTATTTTATAACGCCGAAGACAATACTGAATTGGAGACAGAAGAGCATAGAATTTGCGAAGCCGATGCATCGCAGGCTTGGTCGGCACTGGATACCGCCTTTAGACATCACCAAGAGTTTTCGAAACAGTTTCTTCAAGATGATTCTTCAGGCGCAGTGGAGCGAATAAAGGCAAAACTCGTCAGATGGGCAGAGGAAATTGACTGGCCAGATGATGTAGTGGATTCCGTGTGGCGGAGCTCAGCAAGAGACTCACGAGAATGTTTTGAAATGACGAGAAAATTCATGGGAGATAAGCACTGGCCCTTTACAAAGATTATTCGGTCTGTTTCCCTGCCAATGTGTGACATCAAGCGCCTTACTAAACCATTGCAGTGTCTATATCAACGCGCAGATCCTAAAGACTGGAATAGTGCTTGCGGACTTGCCTGGTACGTTGACCATATCGACCCGACACGAATGTCACCGTGTGAAGCTTACGTCGAGTTTAGGGCTACAAGATACCAACCTTGCGAGAGTGAAGGCTACGCAGGACTACTTGATGAAATGCAACTCTGTTTTCATTGTTGCCAACATTTCCCGTGCCATCACAGACCAGTCTCTCAAATCTTCTCTGTTTTCAGTTCTGTCGCGTCATGTGCCACTGGAGCTCGAAGAGTCCGGAGCAAAGGCACTGCGGATTGCAGTGATATGCACACGAGCCGAGGTATAACACGGCGCAAATGTGAAATAGACATGGATCTGACTACTGTTGTGTAGGATATAGACATTGAGAACGCCAAGCAGGAATTCTGTGGCCCTGGTAATTCCGTTGACCTCGACGAATGCGACAAGCTTGAGAGTGAGCTCGAGGCTGCAAGGCGGACTGGCGACTCTGCGCAGAAGAAGCGGCTAAAGCTAAAGTATGGCGATTTTATCCCAGCCTCTACGATTCGACTTTTTCTAACCAGACCCTGGTGTTGCAGGCACAGACTTCTATTCATTGAGGCTCGCAATCAACACGTGAAACGAGGGCTGCAGAGCGCATACGCATCTAAAATTCCGGACCAGACATTGGATGTTTTCTGTGTCTCCAACAAAATCTATGAAAAGCATGTGCCAAAAGGTAATTCTGAATTTGTCGCAGCAAGCGGCATCCCAGAACTTCGAAGGTTCTGTCATACCATCACCGCAGACGCACAGTTGCAGGAGGCGACGCATTTCTTGAAGTCGTCAATCCCGAGTTTCTTGACTACCCTCGAAATCAGACTCGGCAGTCTATGCTCCGGAGATGAAAAGCTTGCTAGGTTCCAACAAGCTAGAAATAGTATTCACAGGGGACTGGATGAAATGGTTAGTAACGAGTTGTATTATGCGCGGTTGGCCAATGGAATAGCAAAGCTCACGTCATGCCACAGGCGAGTAAAGCAGCGAGTGCTATTCATCAACTGTTGGAAGAATTGAACAGCGACTATCATTCTCAGATAGTAGGACTATTCGGCAAGTATAGAGCATTACCGCCAAAACGAGCATCGCTAATCACCTTTTTGGCGTGTACAGGTAGAAGCGAGCAGTGGCAACATGCAGCCGCCGCTCAGGGAGAAATATGGCAAAAGCACCCTGTAAGATACGTGTGCCCTTCTTTTATGTGCGTTGCTCATACGTTTGTATCTAGTGGCATTGGAGTCGGTAAAACCTCTCACTGTTCAAATGATATCGATATTAACTAGGCACAACAGCTCAATATGACGCATGGTGTTGTAACAATGGTCATCATGCGACGGCAGGACGGGACCGTGAGGATTGGAACGCCAAAATCATATGGAAGATGCGCTCTGAACTTGACTTCCAGTGGACTGTCGTTGAAGAAGAGGCTGAAGCTGGCTTTTGTAAATTGCAAAAGACTTTGGACGGGCTCTTCGCAAACTTGCAAGCAGTGCTTGTGGGTAAGTCACTTTCCGTCTACAGGACAGAAAGACTGGGTCAAACTAAACCTAAATTCAGATTTGATGCTCGGCAATGACCTCTCCGTGCTGGAGTATGCATTGTCGGCCCAGATACACAATGTGACGTATAGAATCCAACGGGCCAAGGAAGGGTATGCCAAGGAAATGAGGTACGCATCGACGACCGATCTGCCTCCATGTTGAATGCTGACCGCCGTTGTCTAGTCTTACGAGACGATATGCTTCCGAAACAAACTTCACGTCTTTTATTCTGCAGCAGATGACCGATACCTATCGACATGCCGCAGGCCAAAGGGGTAAGTATCGTTGCTATCTCTTAGTTTTAAAACCCATGTGAATAACCCATCGTTCTTCTAGGAGCAGGCAAATCAGCACGGCAAAAGGCAATAGTGCAAGGTCGGATAACAGACAACATACTGTTTCCAACCATCTGCGCTCTCATCTCAGATTGCACCCACAGCACGCTCCAAAACACACGGCGGGAGTTGCTAGAGATGATGCAGGCTTCCATCGGGCATGTCAGGTCTGACTTTACATGTGCTCTCGGCGATGAGAATTCTGATAAACGTCCGATTTGCCTGACCATGGAGTCCGCCGACCTAGCGACATTGCGTGAAGCACTGTCTACGGTTAAGCTGCTCAACTTGGAGGCAAAGGTTCTTTTCGAACCAGCCGCATAGATCCTGATATGCCGCTCCCTGCGGAGGATTTATACGCAGTTAGTCAAATAAGCCTTCCCTTCTAAAGAGCATTACTATAGTAGGGGGAAATACGTTTTATCCAGTTATATATTCTTATAAAGTATATTATAATTATTAGTTTTATAAGGAAAGTACATTATGAGGAATAATATATAAATTTATTTATTTAAAAACTTGTAATAAACTAGCTATACCTACTGCTATATATATATATATTACTAAATAGTAAGAATAAACTTAAGAAAAAAAGATAAAAAAAGAAAGGTTTTACCTCCTCTTTTTCTCCTTATTATACCCTGCTCTTATCCGAGATTTATCTGTGCCAGGTCTAGTCTGGCTCCGCTTAGGCTGCTGCCTAGACCCGAGCCTCTAGCTCGAGTCTATAATAAGTATACGTATTTAAGTGCTAAAAAGTAATATACCTTTATATAATAGGCTTTTGAAAACCTGTTAATATAAATACGTGCAAGACTATAACGGGGTTTAACCTTGCCCCCTTAAAGCTCTTTTTGTACAAACACGGCTTATAAGATCCCCTTTGAGGCCAATACGAGGAGTTGAAAATGTCCACGACTCGTATCCTTCTCGCTTGCAGGATAAGCTTGGTAATAGATCAGGGAAAAGTTGGCGGAAGCAAAAAGGTGTTACACTCGGTCTGTTCAAGAACAGATAGGTGCGCCTCGAGTATATTGCGAAGCAAAGTTAATAGGATCTTATACTCCGTCTTGGCACATTCTAATGCCTTCGCAACAAACTATTATTTCCTACAAGCATAACCCTTGTTCGATGAGACCATGAAACTCCCAGTCTGGTCATCAGTTCTGTGCATATAATAAAGCCTATATGTAAAGACGGTACAGACACTAGTAGCCAGTTTTTCTGCTCACTACATTTTCGAGGGGCCGTCCTTTGCTTAGTCTCTCTAGATTCATTTCCAGGATTTCCATTATCCTTGTACTGTATCCTGTCGATCTGCCACCTACATGCGGTGTGATGATTACATTCTTGGCTGTCCAAAGTGGATGGCCCTCTGGGAGTGGTTCGGGATCTGTCACGTCCAGTGCCGCGCCTCTTATTGAATCATTGTTCAATGATCGAATCAGAACATCAGTGTTAACAACAGGACCGCGAGCTATATTTGAAACAAACGTCTTGTTCTTGGCCAAGATTTCGAACTCGGCCTCGGCTATGAGCCCCCTCGTAGCTTCAGTTAGAGGAGTAGCTATAACTAAGAGATCGAGGCCCGAGCCGAGGAAGTTGTGCAACTCTTGAGTCGAGCTTCCAGAAAACCATTTACTTGGCAGGGTGCCGTCTGGATCTCCAAGCCCAACAGGCGTATAGCCCTTATCGCGACGTGACTCGGGGGTCGGGCGTGGATGGAGAGTGTAAACATGCACATCCATTCCTAGTGCTTTGGCAACACGGCCTGTCTGTCGCCCAATACTACCATACCCCAAGATTCCACTAGATTTGAAAGGCCGATTAAGTATTGTTGTAGTGCCCAGGTAATTATATGTGAGAGCGACTTACATTCGCCTGCCGACAGAGTCATCCGGCACGTCCTCGAGTTTATCCCATCTTCCTTGGCTCTGCTGCTGCCAGTAGGTTGGAACTATAAAAAAAGAGCAAGAACAACGTCAGCTTTTATTTCCACCGTGTCTGCTACAGTTGTTGTAACTACTCACATCTGTGTTGCAGGGCGAGATATGAAACAACCACCCACTCTGAAAGCTGAGGTCTGCACATGTAAGTCATTTTGCTTCCCATTATCCCCCGAGGCTCGAAGCAGCTTACCCGTGTACTCCGTTTGCAGTACAAAAGGTGATTGTCTTTTGTTTAAAAATGGGCTTTCTCAATACCGGGTCCGCGCCCGCCGTCAAGAGTTGAACATATTCCAACCTGGGGGCTTGTTCGGCACTGGGCAGTGCGCTGCATGTAACCAGGATTGTCACATCCTTCCATAGCTGCTCTGGATTGTCGTCACACTCAAGCGCACTATTCCACGACTGCCGGCGAGATTCTATGGCAAGATCGGGAAATCGCTTGTGAAGGTGGTCAAGATGCTCAGGCAGGACCCGCCAAGGGCATAGCAAAAGCAATTTGTGACCTTGCAACGTGCTGTTGACATCTACATGTATCCGCATTATCACGTCAACCTTGTCGGTCAAGGTGGCAATCGTTTTGTCCAAAGCGCTCTGAGAAATAGCCTGGTATGGAGGGAGGTATGGAACTGATCAGCGCACAGCAGCAGGAGGATGGCTGGTGTGAAGTTAAATGGAAGCACCCTCTTCTCAGTGTACCCTTGAAACTTGTACAAGCCCATAACAAACAGGCAACGCGTACAAGTACGCACACGAACTAGCTCGCAATGGTGCCTTGCCAATGACACGTATCTTGGGTGCCCTTGTGTGCACTTGGCAGTGTAGTACTGCATGTCGCTCACCGACTTGCCGCCATGCCCGGTACAAACACCCAACTGTGTGTCTTTGTCTTTGATGCGGCAAGTATTGACCCTTGCACAGTTCCAATTAGTCTGGCAAGTCGTTTTGGGCATCAGTGGAGATTTGGCGGAACGGAGAGGAACACCGTCTGTTGTGGCGTTAAATTGAGCATACACATGTAACTAGACAATTTAAATGCATTGATCTACGGGATACGACGTCTATACATGAGTGTAAGCGCCACAGTTGTTGAAGCTGCTTTTGCCCTGATATTGTGTCTTGTAGTACAAGACAAATCTAGTCTTTTCGAGCAGACGACTAACGACTTAGACTTGCTACCAGATCAAAAATTAAATCTAGGGTATTGCCACTATGGTGCCGGATTCTATAAGTTCTTGTCGCGTAGAAACTCGGTAGCAAAGATGGAGATTAAGATTACACATGGCAGTTTTACAGGTTGGGTTTTTTCGTGGTTTTATTTAGGTGCTTTGCTGTCCCCTTTTCAAACTGCGACTGGTGTAGGTGACTCTTTGTTTTACATAAAAAGTGAACCTTTTGTTGGTAACAATATCTAGTCGACCTTTTTTTGGACAACTGACTCCTCGTTTGTCCTGTGAGCCCAGTCCATGATTCCAAAGCCCCCCGAAGAACCAAAGTAGACGTGAAACCTCTCATGATGACGGTCATGCATCTTGGCCAGCCCCAGGAAGAAATCATAACCACTATGTGCCACCGAAGTGGCAAGGAGGTCCCAACCCACCATGACAACCAAGACCAGCACATGGGAGCGCAACACCACCAGCGGCAGAGTAATTGGCAACACATTGAGCAAGATGTGTTCGACGGGATGGGCGTACTGCGATGCAAAAGCCATAGGCGCCGTGAAGTTGTGATGTATCTTGTGAAGGCGTTTATACAACGGCCGCCAGTGTAGCAGGCGGTGCAGGTAATAATGTATCGCCTCGCGCGCGATGAAACTCAGCACAAAATCGCGCGTAAACTCGGCAAGGCTAGGTAAATCGCCCTTCATCCGTACTGTGGCCTCACGGCCGCGTGATGAGTAATAGTTGAGCAAACAAAAATGAAGGAGCAACTCGATGGCTTGATTGCAGATGGAGACGGCGACACATCGCCCGATATCCAGAAGCGTGGGCTGTTTCTCTGCTGGCTGAATCTTGTACCTGGTTGAAAAAGACGGCGCCAAGTAGTTCAATGACACCAAAGTGATGCCGGGCAGCCACCAGAAGAGTATCTGCAATGCAAAATGAACACCGAGCTCGACAGTGTAAACGTCTTGACTTGATGTAATGCTTTCAAAAAGATCCGCCATGGCGGTTGGCTCGATCGCCATTGTAACGACGTCGAAGAAATTCACTTGCGAATGGGAAAGGTAGGATATGGGTCTGGCGTGCAACTTGAATCGTTGGAGCCAGTGCTTGCTACTGCTTATTATTTGACTTTGTATTGCAGTACCGTGTTATCTTGACTAGCATTCGCCGATGGCGCGCGCCGGATCTTTTCGCTAGGCATGAAAAGGCACATTCCGCATCAAAGGCATGGGGTGTTTAGTAGGACAGATAATACGCCATAGGTTATACACAACATTGTCCACGCCGTGATAAAGATACGGTGAGAGGTGAGCCAGCGGTGCCGTGGTGCAGTTTTTGCCACGTATGCTAGCCGACCCTTATGCGGGCTTCTTCAGCAGCCCACCTGAAGGCGCTTGAGAAAAGAAGAGGAAAAAAAAACCGCCCAATGCAACGTCGGGAGACATGCCGTCATGCTACCGACTCTGGCGCTTGACGATGTGACCGCAAGGAGCGTGATACGTTGAGATAGTATCAAGCACGAGCCAATAAGCTGTGCTCCTACTGCGAGCAAAATATGGAGTATCTCCTTGTCGATAGGGATGCGGTACAATATGCATGTCTCACACTTGGATGAAGTGTGCCGCGTCGTTGTATGCGTGGCTACTTTCAGCTGCAGCCTGGATGAAGCCATGCAGTACTACGCCCACACCTTGGAAGGATAGGACTGACCGCATCCTTTGTTCACTCTTCAGCCGTTGAGTCACAATGGACAGAAAATACGACGGCACAGACGCTTTGCTCAGGGGTACAGCCAGCTGTACACGAGCCATGGAATGCAGAGTTGGCGCGTATGCAGCCACAGCTGATCTGCGCCATCGTCGGCAGAGTATGGGCTCATGCAGTCAATACGTGGATCGCCTATTCCAGATGGGCTTCGTCGAAGCCGCGTGTATCCCTGTGCGCTCTTGCTCCCGAGCCAGACCGCCTCAAGGCCGAACCGGGAGCTGGTCAGTAGATGGTATTCTCTTGGGAAACGAGCTTGGTGTGGCTAGTCGGAAGTTCAGACATCGCAAACAGCTCATATGACTGTGTAATTTGCCTTGTTCTATTTGTTTGCAAGCCCGGATTAGTATACCCCCTTCTTTACCGTGCCATCAAGTCTGTCAAGATGGCAACCTCGCAATGTATCCGCACACCAATCACAGACATGTTCAACATCAAACATCCA